TGACTTCAATTATTGGTATTAGAGAGAATTACAATGAGGTTCCAGAAAAAAAAATTACTAAAAAATTTTAATGACAGTCTAAACAGTCTGTAATAACAAGTTTTATAATAAAAAACAATAACTTCTCTAACTTGTTTTGTAATTATTTTTATTTCTTGAAATATCATTGTAATTCTCCTCTAGCATTATTATAGGATGTTGGTGTACCAAATTACCAATGGCCTCTTGAATCAAGGCATTGGATCAACCACCCACATTGAGTGACATATTTCATGGTAAATACTACCTTCGGTTCTTGATATAAGAATTCATTTGATTTTTATTTTGATCCCAAATATAAGACCATAATTTATTTTATCTCTTATATTTATCTTTTTTTTTTCCTAAAATGATCATTGTAATAATAGTAGTTCTAACTAATACATTTGATTAACAAAGATATTTCATAAAAAACAATATCATTTATTACAAATAACTAACTTAACTAGTTTTTTTAATCTATTCAAATTAGTCAACCAACTCTCATATTAAACATCGAACATAGTATAACCAGGTTGAGAGTAAAGAAGTTGAATCAGGAGAGAGAGAAAAAGAAAGAAACAAAAGGGAAGCATGATCCAAGTAAGATTGCAGGAAAGATGTGCTCTGCTTTAAGAGGGGAATAATGAGTTGTGTGAGGGACGTTTGCTAAAAGAACAAAGGCGAGAGAAAGACGATTTGGCAGGGATTCAACTCGAAGCACTGCTTGCAAAAAAAATCCAGGCTGGCTAATGAAATCACAAACATGATAAGAGAAAACCAATGTTTACATTAGTCAGTGAACTACTATCAACATAACGCTTAGTCTCGAGACCTCTTTGAACCACACAAGCTAGTCATCCAATGAACGTGCCTGAACTTCTCATTTTCGTCACCGTTAATGTTGAAGAAGAAACCTCCTGTAATAACAACAATAATTAAGCTCATATAGCGTGAGAAAAAAAAAAGGAGAATAATAATGAATATTAAACCTGATCTGGTTGGGAGATAAGAGGGTGAATAAAAGAGGTTGTCGTCACAGGACGCGAGATTTCTCACATGAGGAGCTGAAACAACGCTATTTTGGAGAATCATGGAGAGATGAACCTCAGTATACTAATACTAAGATCCCATTTAGTACAAAGGATTCAAAATAAGAAATAGAGATTATGATTGGGATTAAAAAAACCTAGTGAAAGAATGTTTAGCATAAGATTTCTTGTTATATAGGATTAGACAAATTCATATATTTAGAATTGGATAATACTATAGGGGGAGGTGGTATTCTTTAATCTCCTCAATGGGTTTACCTAATCACAAGTAACAAGTAATTATTCATGCTAAAAAAATTTTGAATAATTTTCTTAATTACAATCACATTCCTAATTCTTTATTTTCAAACTTTTCGTAGCAAATGGGATCTAAGTGTGGCAATTTGTAAATACATTCCCCCGGTATCACAAGGAGGCTGTATCAAACATTTATTTTAGTTCTCATTCAGTGTACACTGCAATAACCAATAATCTGTACAAAACATTTCATTGGTTCTCATTCATTACTCATCACAATAATGATTCACCTGCACCAAATATTTCACTCACTCCTCGCTTATTTCTCATCGCAATTTAAACTATAGTTAGACGAGCACACTTTGTAATTAAATCTTAAGAAAATATATAAATTTATATATTATTTTTAAGGTAAAGATGCATCCAATACCATAATCTTATTTCTCAAATATATACCATAATCTTATTTTTAGTACATGCAACATCCTAATGTTTAACGTGTTTGATCGATGTAACTAAAAAATCACATTGGGGTGCTTGATACATCAGGAAAATAAAATCAGGGTATTGAATGCATTATATATATAAAAAAAAAACTAACGTGTTGAATGCATCAGAAAAATAAGATTAGAGCATCAGACGTACTTCTATTCTTTATTTTCATGTGACTATAGTAATTATGTGTAACTTTTTTTCTTGACATGGTTAGGGTAATTATATTTAGTTTTCTCACAAGCACGGCATTTTTCGTAGTTTTCAAACAATTAGCCTGTGTATTTATAATTTTCACACAAATAGTTCCTTTGCATGTAATTTTGAACGAACAGATAGTTGTATGGAGCTCTGATCATCAAAAAAGTACAAAACCTCCTCCTCGTTCGAAAATTAAAAATATACCCGACTGCCGGGTCACATGAAAAAATTACAGATCATACTGTCCTCACTAGAATACGATATCCTGCTATTGTGAATATTACAAATAACGACCCGTTCAATGTGAAAGTTTCGAACAATAACCCGTACATTACAGTATTGCTCCTATGCTCCTGTAAGAATTATAAGGGTTAAAATACAAATCAATCCATGAAGTATTTTGCTATGACCATCTAACTTCATAAACTTTTTTCGGGTGCAAAATATAGTTAAAGCTTCTAAAATGATGCAAAAATGCCATGGTCGTTGACGTTGCCTGTTTAGCAAATATATAAGTCAAGAAAATGACGTAAAAATACATATAAAATTTTGAAAATAATGCCAAAATGCCATGGTCATTGGAAACTTTATATATATTTTTACACCATTTCAGAAATCTCATGTGTATGTTTGTATTGTTTTCTTAGTTGACATGTTTGTTAAATGGTCAATGTTAGTTGACTTAACAGCTGTGATATTTTTGTACCATTTTAAAAACTTTACATATACTTTTATACTTAAGAAAAGTTTATGGTGTTTGGTGCTCTTGTAGAATACTTTAGAGGTAAATTTGCCCCTTAATCCAATTATAAATGTCTATTGTATTCAAAGTTTGCATATAAGTACCGCATGCTTGAAAAAGTCTGACAAATTACTCTCACCAAAATTTAAAGAAAAGTACAAGCAAGGCGCTATCGCTACAAACCATTCATATTGTCATTGATATTAATTTTGTATTTGTCAAAATATAAGAACGAGATACAATTAAATATTCAAATTGGACTTTAATTTTCAACCCTTTTACGCAGAAGTAGAATAAGAATAGTTAGAACCAGTCTATTCTTTATTTTTGCTATTTTTCATATTCCCTTGTGCTGTTGTTGACGGAAGATGCCCACACAAAAATAAAATAAAGATCCCAAAATTTATCATAGATGTCTCCATTATGTGATCATAAGATAGATCACAATTCACGTACATTTGTGTTAGGCCTAGAGTTTTCATTAAAGCTTGCCTAGACCTGATTAGATTTTAATCGTGTCTTTGTGGAGTGATGAATCCCCTGTTTCTTAAGAACTGAAGTTAAGTGGCTGATTTTGACCCAAAAAATAAAAGTTAAGGGGGTGTCGTATATACTTGTTATAATATTTTAATTTTAAAAAATATATTGTTAGTCATTTAATTTTAAAATTATTAATTTTAAATGATAATTCTTTATAACAGGTTGATTTGAAAATTAAATTTGACATGTTAACATTTAAAAATATTTTATTAATATCATGATTTTAGTATCATTACTTTTTTAACAATTTAAAAAGTATAAAAATATACTTTTTAAAATTAAGTGATTAAATTAAAATATTGTATAAATTTTAAAATTAAAAAATATATTTTAGCCTTTGTTTAATAATACCATTTATATTTGTCGGCAAAAAAAATCATACTACTATTTATGTTTATAACTACTCGTATAGTACTCGTAATTTTTGTATTGGGGCCCACTACATGGCGCGCGGTCTCTCTCTCTCCCCCTCGCAGCCCAAAACTTTCCAGTTTCCCGTTTCCGGTTTTGATGCACCCGACGCGAGGGAAGCGGCGCGTTGAACTTTCAAATCGAAACAAATATTATTCCATCTAAATTACTCGTCCGGTTCCTTAATATAAAACCTATTTAACTAATTTGATTATATTAAGGAAGTTAGATAAGTTAGTTAATTATAAGAAAAGTGAAACATTTTTTCTAAAACACCATAATCATCTTTCTTAATACCTCATCTTTCTCTTCTATTTGATTATAGTTGAGGGAGTATCTATAGGGGTAATTTAGAGAAAATTGATAAATATGATAAATGAGTCTTATATTTAAAACCAAAACCAACTCAAGAATTGAGTCTTATATTAAGAATAGGAGGAGTATTATTTATGTTGACTAAATGTAACTTAAATTTCACGCAAAAAATAATCTAAATTATTCATAAAATAATATAAATTTCGCATAGTAATTTTTTTGGGACAAAGATAACATTTGTCACCTCACACTTCAGGATCGCGCGGGCAATTCATTAAGGAAAATGAGATAACAATTAACGAAAATTTAGGGTAGTGTTTGAAATATTTGGTTCCCCACAAGTTTTGTTTCCCATTTTTGGCTCCAAGATTTACCCTCCAATTGAACAACCGCCTCTTCCTTTTATTTTCCCGCTGCTTGTCTCTGAAAGATGCGGTCACCAGACAAGGGGTGCGAATTGCTGGTAAATTTCTCTACAATGTTGATTTTTACGCCATCCTGTTCTTTTTGGGATCATCTCTTTTATTTTCGTTTGTTTTCATGCATTTGTTGTGCTTCATTTGCGTTGCAAGGTTTTACGTCCCCAGCAATTTGAAGTTGGGAGTTTTATAACTTGATTTGGCTCTTTTGTTTTTAGGCATTGTGCCAGGATAATAAAAAAACTCAGCAGTTCCATTACTATCGTCTATTTTAGAATTCGGTACGATTCTTTACGTGGAGGATTTCAGAACTTTAAAAATATTTGTGGAGTTGACATGCTCAAGATTACAAATCTATTGATCGTTAAAAGCATTTTAAATGGTTTTAAGATTCGGTTATCTGTAAGGAACGATCATCATTAATGATTTAAAGGGAGTCAGAATGCTAAATTTTCACCTGTATCCGCTTATTCAATTCTGATTCTAATTGAGTCGTTAATTTAGTGTATATAGTCCATCGGTGTGCTGGTTCGGAATCAAGTTGAGCAATGGAGCGGAAAGCCGCAATTTGTTCGTGAACTGTAACTTTACAACATGAGCTAAGTATGTAGACATGGACACAAAAGAAGATGGTAAATCTATTGATGATCAGGGCTCGTCGCCTATCATGGCCCTACAGCAGTTGTCTGAGGTGGCTATCGGAGTTGGTGGAGAAGCATTTCATCGTGAGAAGACTGCCGTTTCACCCAAGGTGCCTCCTGGACATAGACGCTGTCAAAGTGAAGTTGTAACTGCAGGACTTCAAAGGAGTGACAGCTACGAAAAGTTGAAGAATCATGTGCAGAGGGCTTGGCGGGGAGGAGGCAAATCCCCCGAAGAAGGTTCTCCTTTGACTTTTAACCCTGAGGTCTTAGCGAACCAAAAGCGTCAGTGGTATCAGCTTAATTCCAAAACCCTGGTACTCAATTCTGTTCTGCTTTATTCTACTATCAGAGTTCCAATATGACTTTTACATCTGAAAATCTTGCCTGCCTAATTGACGTGGAAGTTGCTCCATCTATTGCGTCCCTCACATATTTTTGTTGGAAATTTAAATTCATCAATCTGTTCCAGAATTAAGATGTGGAGCATACTGTAGGATTGTGCAAATCATAAGGAGCCAACCTCATTGTTCGAACATTTTGTGATTGTGGGGCTGCATCCAGATGCAAATCTGGAAGCTGTGGAGGTTGAATTTGCAAATAGGAAAAAGTGGGAAAAAGAGGGAAAATATGCGCCTGTAGAGTTCCAAATGATGCAGCAACAGGAGTCTCCAGTACCAGTGTTGGAACCTCAGGTATGTTAGATAGCAATTTTGTTTGTTGCTATCAACAACTTTCATATCGAAATGCAGAGATAATATCCAGCCTGTTTGATCAAAAGCTCAAAAGAATCCCGATGTACATTATTGGATATATCTAGTTCCTATGATTCTGTTCTGATGAACATGTTATGGTTAATCTTTAGGTTTTTTATTGAAATATAATTAATTTTATAGTCATTATGCGTATATATTATCTATGATTCTCTTCTGATGAATTCAGAAGATTCTGAAATAAACTTATTGCATCTTCACCATTATAGTATATGGATTTCATTTGAGGATATATTATGCTCCTGAATTCATTTAATTTACCCATTTTTATGACTACACCTTAGTCAATTATCACCGATTAATGAATTCTGTGTTTGATATCTATATTTCATTATTTCTACATCAGATTCTTTTCAAATATCCTCCTGGGAAGAAGCTGAGCATGCGCATGAAAGATTTAGCCTCTTTTTGCTTTCCTGGAGGTGTCAAGGTGAGCGTTCCATTTCTAGTAATCTGAACTAGATATCTCAAATGCCTTTCATTGTTAAACACTACTGTATGAATTGTTTGCTGAAAATGTTTGTTGCAGTTTTGTATTGTTTCCATTTTGGAGGTTATTTAACTGGTCCCATTACTTTTTATCAGTCAGTCTTGCTCCTCCTTCAGATGCATGCAAGTTTTATATTTTCCTTGTTTACTATTTTTTTATTTGTCTTGATCCGTAGTCAGATTACATTGAATATGGACCATTAGATTATCATCTTACCAGTGGAATTAACCACCCAACATTAACTTACTTGAATAAATCATGTCATGATGCTTCGTAGCTGCATTAAACTAGTAAGTGGCCATTGGGTTCTCTGTTCGTACTTGATTTGTGTTTGCCAAAAGATGCTATGATTCGTGATATACTTCTCCTGTTGGTGATAATATTTGTTTCTTGACTGTTTCATTTGTTGGATGTTGATTTACAGGCATCATTGGTGGAGAGGACTCCATCTCTAAGTGAACTGAATGAACTTGTGTATGGGCAGGTATTCCAAATCAGCAGATATTCCTGCTCTAAATCAAGCTGGTTAAAGTGAAGCTTTGTCCTTGATTTGTAAAATCTATTTGTTTAGTTCATGTAATTTATAATATAAACATTATTTGATAGTTTGTGCAAGTACTAACGGAGAAAAACTAAGGAGCTGCCTCTATAATACTCGATCTTTCTTTTCCATGTTAGCTTCTACTTTTGATTTCTTGCATCTACAAAACGTGAAGTTATTGTCACCATGTCTCTGTTCATTCTTTTACAACCCACTTTTCTTGCTGGAAGGATTCTCTCATCTTTCATGGAGTCAGTCAAATGGATCATAGTCAATAATTTTATTTCATATTTGCTGCCTCTGTCTGTTGGTTCTCCTTCTTGCTGATAATTAAACTGCTCAGTTATCAGTCTTTGACGCATTTCTTTTTGTTTATTCTCTGCAGATTCATTTAGGCAGAGATGATTTATCATTTATCTTTTCACTCAAGGTAATTTGTTTATCACTTTCATTTATAAATGTGAGCGTGCAAGCTTGATATATTTGTGACCCTTTGCTTGAACTCTCCTAGAAATAATTGATTTATCCGTGTTTTGCTTCATCCATTTTATTCAAGAGTCCTTGTCAGTATTCAGGATGGGCACCTAATCTTGTTTTCAATCTCCCTCTACGTTATGGGCTGAACAGTACTTTACACCATAACATGAACGATATTAACAAATCATTGCTTTTCAATTCGATAAAACCTTCCTAAGTATGTGCATGCTGATGGTATGACCCATCATGAAGTAGCTTATTGTAATTGAAGACATAGATGAAACTTAGTCATACTGCATCGCTCATGTTCTTACATGGGGAAGGAGGGCATCTAGAATGTTAGCTTAAAGAAAGTCCTGTTGCATGTCAAGGAATTTCACAATTTAAAAGCCTATGCTATGGAACATTGACAGTCATTGATAGATTATTACTATCTGTTATAACTGTCCATATATTCATCTATATGGTGTGTTTTTGGTTTAAAACCAATGGACAATGAATCAATGACAAGGCAACGCCGCAAGATCTAGATTGTCCAAGTGTTGTTTGAAGTATCGTGTTATGACTAATGCAAGTGTCTTGCAAGTGTCAGACATGGACATAACTCCCAGTTTAGGTATCCTTGCTTCATGGGTTTGGACATGTCTGCTGTTGACAAATTTTATGCAGTTTTTTTTTCCCTCACTTATTCTTTTATGCGCAATCTTATTGCTCTGGAACTGAAAATGGTGTTTGAAACAATTTTTGTGCCTATATATGGCTTGATCAGGCAGCACAAAATGCAACTCTCTACGGGGTCTGTTTACATGTGCCTGAAATCTTACAACGGCCACCTAGTATCTTAGGCATATCGTCTCCTCTTACTCTTCCCTCTGGGGCATGCAGCCGTTTTATGGTTTCTGCTCCTCGTTGTTTCTGTCTGCTGACTAGAGTTCCTTTCTTTGAGTTGCATTATGAATTGTTAAACAGGTTAGCATATTGTTTCTGCCTTTTCGCATAGTGATTCATATTGTTGGTTGTTCATACTATTAAAGCATTAGGTTCGTTGTTTTTTTTCCTAGATCCAATAGCATTCACTATGCCTTACTTGGTTGCAGTCTTGCTGCACAGGAACGTCTGAATCGGATTACTCAGTTTGTAAATGAAATGACTCTTACTGGTTCTTTTCTCCCGCCTAAACTAGATGATCAAACAAATGAAAATGATGACACCCTAGAGAGGGGGTCTTTTAATGATTGGATGGCGTTGTGCA